ACTCAAATTTCCCAAACCTTTACTGGATGTTTGCAATCCAGAAAGGCCGGTACAAAACCCACGTACAGAACTCCCGCAGGATTCAGTATGGGATTTTCGTGGCGCTCAGACGTTTGATGGTCCAAGCGCACAATTCCATGTTTTCGGATTCCCTGCAAAACCGACTCATAGGAATCCGCCGAATAAACGGACCAAACGGACATTTGTCCGTCTGTCCGATCGGACGTGTCGAACTGCTTCGATCAAGGAGTTTCCAATGAATGGTCTCCAAGAGAGCAATTTCAACAGTGCAAGGTTGGAATCCTCTTGTTTTGTTGCCAAACATATCAATCAGCCGTGGACGGCAAATATTGGGCTTTGATTTCCACCACATTATTGGGGACACGATAACTTGCTACTTGATCCTCTTTGTGTTGGCGTCTGTTGAGTTCTTGTTGATATTATCATGGCCATGATGAAGACAAAGGACCGTTAGGAGCATTATTTTGGCTCTCTTTTGTGAAGAACATGCTGTATGGCATTCCTTCTTCATCTCCAGTTTCGACAACACTTCTTCATCCCCTGGTGACTCAACAATCAACACTGTTCTGTGATGGCTGGTCCATGAGGCTATTGATGCTTTGATTTGATGCCGGTCGTTGTTTTGCTTGGATGTATGTGTTCTCTGCTGAGAAGATCACTGCCAGATGGCCGATATCGTTGTCACACCGATGACAGTCTGTTTGCAATCTTGTCTTTTGCAGCAAACCATTGGGTCCAGCAGAGATACAAAAAACTTCTGGTTTAAATCCAAAATTGGATTGAGCCCAGAACACTAGTGGCGGCTTCTGTCACGACGGATGTGGTGGAGTGGCAATACCGTTGTTCAAGTTTCGCTCCTAGAATGCATGACTTCATAGCCGAAGGCCTCCATAGTATAATATAACACCCCAGTATAATATAAGATATTAGTTGCCTGTGAATCGTTTATTTTTACGTTCTTTTTTCTTGGCACTTCTTCCCTTAGAATCAACCAGACATATTCTCTCCTAAGTATCGGGTCGGCAGCCATCTTGGTATCTATTGGAATACTACGTGTCAATTAATTGAGAAGGGCGCATGCACTAGTACCTCACATCCAAACAACGAAGTATAGAAAAATATAACTACTAAACTTTTTTAGGTCTTCCCCCCAAGATATGACAGGGAATTGTTACTTCATCTCCTCCTTGACCAAAATGGTTGGAGTATTTTCAATTTTGTCTCATTGTCGGGGCAGGGGTTAGATGATGCACGATGTAGGTCCTTGCAAGACTGATCACCTCTTTTGGGAAGGTAACACTTCTTCTTGAAGTACTACTACTAGAGTACTAGCTAGCCTACTAGGTAGTACTAGTGCTGGGCGTCGAAGATATGCCCCATGGTCCAATCACCACGATTCACAGTAGCTGACACATCTTGTTTCCTCCAGAGAATGCATGCCCCAGCTGGCTGGGGCATTCCCTCTTTTCTCTCTTTGCGTGTCCTTACAGACGTTACTGTATATCAGACGATATACCGGTACGTTTCAGCTGGTCACTACCGGTACCAGTACAGATTACAGTACGCCGCGGTGGGGTTTGGTGTTCGGGTATCAACAATTTTTAAACGTGAAGCTCCGTGTTGCATCGCGTGTCGCACCCTGTCGCAGTTGACGGCATAAATTCATGTTCCTCATGTGTTCGACTCAGTCGACTTTACCGGTACCGATACGGCATGTTACTGCTTCTCCCATTAGTTGCAGACCCTACAGCACAGTGTACCTGGTACCATGTGCACTTATACCAATAGGGTGCGATGGTGCCGATGGTATGCGTACAGTACAGTACTGTATGATCTATCCTTGGTATGATATATCGATGACAATAAAATGTTGCGGTTCAATCAAAACCGGTATGCAGCGACATGAGATATCGATTCATCTATGATAATACCCGGATGTGGCAACGGACTTCATCGAATAAATAATAATAAATGAATCGCAAGTCAAAATTGAGGCTCCTGGTCATAGATCGAGGGTACATTTATGCCCTTTTGTCACAGAAACCAATTTCTAATTAATAGAACCATTTAGCGAACGATGCTTTTATTCCTGATCGTTCTCAGGAAAAAAAGCCCATTCTGACCACTTGTACCTAGCTTCCAGTACCTGGTACTATTCGTACGAAATTTGAGATTGTGACCACTTTGAAAGCGCAGAAACAGGCGACAAAAGACATTGTCAGAATGACTCTTTTTCGGGAATGCCTAAAACTGGAGCGTCCAAAAGACTTACTTTTCTTAAATATCGCAGAAGTTGGCCCTTATTCTCTGTCAAGATTAAAATAATTGCGAAGTGCTATATATCTTACCGGTACATTTCTTCTCATCACTTTTCGTTAGTACCAGACACCAGGTACCAGGTACGACCCTCCAGAGGTTCCTTCTGTCATAAAATACAAAAACTCACGATACGAATTGAAAACCAGTGAAACTTTCATTGATGTTGCCTTTCAAATCAGCCATGCTCAGCGGCTTCTTGCTGCTTCAGCTGGCCACAGCAGTGGCCGGATATACAAGCCTTGGATGGTATGTCATATAGAGGAAGAACCTTGTTGCAATTGAAAACATTGTAGGCTGTACGTTGTATCTCACACTCTCGATCCATTAATGCACCACCAACAGCTGGAAAGATGCCAGGAGTCCTCGGGCTATGCCTTTCCGCTGGACTGAGGGCGGAGGGAAGGGAGTTATGACCCTGCAAGCATGTGTGGAAACATGCAAGGACGGGGGCTACCTCTACGCAGGTACCCAGCACGGGGACCATTGGTAAGTTTGAGCTGCGATAGCAAGAACCAGCCATTCATCGAATCTTTTAATGATGTTGCTGAACACTACACTAACTATAATCCACTTTAGCTTCTGCGGAGACACCTATGACAAATACGGTTCAGCTACAAATTGTGACATGGATTGTGTAGGTGATGAACCTGGAAACGGGAACTGCGGAGGGTCTTGGGCAAACGAAATTTGGGATACGTCTTCTAGCAATACAGCCGCGACAGTCGTTGCACCGGTTGCGGTTCCAGCACCCGAAGGATACGTTGGTTGTTTCAGAGATAATTCAAGCCGCGACATGGATTTCGAGCCGCCTGGATCCGATAAACCTGGATTTACTCTTCAAAAGTGCCTTGACGAGTGCAAGCAATTTGGATACATCTATGCAGGTGCTCAATATGGAAGCCACTGGTAAGTTCGAACTATTTTTTCGGGAACCGATTCTATCTCCATAAACACTCACAAGTATTGTTGATCATTTATTATTGCCTCTTCTTCCTGTTCAGTTTCTGCGGAAATGAATACGGGTCTCTTGGTACAGCCTCGAACTGTGACATGGACTGTGAAGGAGAATGTGGCGGCTCGTGGGCTAATAGTGTCTATGAATCAGGAGGTGACGGAAACATCAGGTTCGGACGAACTGAAGGAGGAAGCGAATGTATCGCAACTGGATGGGGAGATCCTCATATCATCACCTTTGATGGATTGAAATACGATGTCCATGTCCAGTCCGAGATGACTTTCTTGAAGTCCAAGAACACTGACTTTACCATTCAAGCACGCCTAGAGCCTGTTCCCATCGGCGCAAAGCCAATGGTCACTACCGCAATTGTTGTCAAGGAGGCAGATGCTACCTTGCCCAAAATCCAAGTATCGCTCGCAAAATCAGCGAACAGCGAGAATGCCGTCTTCATCCGAAATGATTGCTACGTGCAATTGTTCGTCGACGATGTATCCCGCGATGTCACTACTGGTACGGGAAGAGAAGATGCCCACGTGTTCAACTTTGGGCGCTTGATCAAAGTGGAATACCCTACCACAAACCTGCAGCTTGATATCGAGGTTGGCTATTGGAGAGGCGCTTGCTACTTCTCTATTGACTTCATCTTAATGGATTGCCGACCAGGTGATGACTTGATTGGTATTTTGGGATCGCCTGACGGTAACAAGAACAATGATTGGATGAACGAAAATGGAGATTCACTACCAATTCCAAGTGGTGCTAGCTCCTTCTTCTTCAAGCCAGCATACGAGTATGCCATCGAAAACTGGTGCATTAGTGATGAGACCAAGTCACACTTCACGTATGAGCCAGGTTACGGGTTTTCGGATTACGAAAACTGTTTGGAGGTGTAAGTTGTTTCAGTTTCATATTTTCGTCGGGATGTCACATTATTCTAACTCGAACAAAACTTGTTCATTGTCTATCCTCCCCCTTTCCAGATACAACCCAGCATTGGAGGAGATTGTCACGGCTGCACAAAACAATCCAGAAAGTGATGGTTTGACAGTCTGCGAACCTTTTGATTTTGGTTGTATCATTGAAACGGAGACCTTGGGTACGGAAGCTGGTGAAGCTTACCTGAAGGATCCAGCAGTGATTGCCTCGACTCAAACAGCAACCATTGATACCCCCGCTGGCGATCCCACTTCTCCACCAACATCTGGACCAACATCGGGACCAACATCTGGACCAACTGATGCCTCTGAGCTAGGTACAAGCGGAAACGGAAACACCTTTGAGGACGCGGAGGATCCAGAGACGGCTGACACTGAAGATGTTGATGAACCAACGGAAGAAGAAATCACACCAACTGACACTGAAGATATTGCAGATCCAGAAGAAGAGACCGGGACCACACCTCCCCCTGATGCTGGAAGCAGAGGTGATCCACACTGTAAGTCTAGTCTACTCCGCCCTGATCGAAAAGTTTTCATTGACATTGATCTTGATATTGGTTTACTCACCCATTCCTTTCCTGACAACGCACAGTCAAGACATGGAAGAACGAGCACTTTGAGTATCACTCGCAGTGTGATTTGGTTCTCAATCGTAACCCCGAGTTTGCTGATGGACTTGGTCTTGATGTTCAAATCCGAACCAAGCTCGTTCGTTTCTGGAGCTACATTAGAAGCGCCGCCATCCGCATCGGAGATGACATTCTCGAAATCCAAGGTACTGCCGATGAAGCCAACAGTTTGAGATATTGGCACAACTTTCAATATCAAAAGGAAATGAAGACTATTGGTGGATTCCCCATCACGATGAAAAAGTCAAATGGGCGATACATGAAGAACCGTTTCATCATCGACTTGGACTCCAAGTACCCTGGTCAAAAGATTCAAATCACCACCTGGAAGGAGTTTGTCGCTGTCGATTTCAAGAATCCTTCCGCTGAGGCCTATGGCAAGTCTGTTGGCATGCTTGGAGACTTCAAGACGGGAAAAACTCTCGCCAGAGATGGCAGAATCGTCCATGATTTCCATGAATTCGGAGACGAATGGCAGGTTCGCCCCACTGATGACATGCTCTTCCATGATGTTGAAAAGCCTCAGTTCCCTACCAAATGTATGATGCCTGAAGATCCCCAAGGCGAACGTCGTCGACGTCTGGATGAGTCCTCCGTCACAGCAGAGCAAGCTGAAGATGCTTGTGCTAGCTTGACTGACCCACTCGACAGAAAGGATTGCGTCTATGATATCTTGGCCACACAAGACACCACCATGGCTGGTGCTTATTAATAGAATTTCGTGGTCCACATTTGGTTTCTCCTTGCAATATATATAAAACATATAAAAATATTTAGGTTTTGCGATATTTTATATAGAAAACGTTTATACAAGAGTCGAACTGGTCAATCGAACAAGCATTGGTTTTTTATAAAATATTATTCTCCATCGACAGTAATCAATGACAATCAAACAAACAAACAAACCAAGACTGAACATACACACAGTATTGCAGTAATAATAATAATATTATATACAGTACGAGTACACAAGTATATTATATATTAAAAAGAAACATGCAATATGGTGTTTCGACAAGTAAATAGACGATTTCAATCAGATGCTTCCTCCATAAAGACTTGGTCATCTTTGAATGCTAAATCGTCAGCAACAGCAACAACAGCAGCAGCAGCAACAACAACAACAACAATGACCAGCTTTAAGCAATGTCAAAGTCGTTATTGTTGTCTTGGCCTGATATCATTCTTGGTGGTGATTCTCGTATTATTCTTGGTAACATTGCAAAGGAAAGATGTTACCTTGCGACGAGTGGCAGAAGAATGGTGGGAACCAAAGCCATTTCTCTCAAAGGCATCATCATCATCATCATCATCATCATCATCATCATCATCATCATCATCATCATCATCATCATCATCATCATCATCATCATCATCATCATCATCATCATCATCATCATCATCATCATCATCATCATCATCATCATCATCACCATCACCATCACCATCACCATCACCATCACCATCACCATCACATGATAGGAAAAATGCCCACCATTGGATCCAATGATCGAACAAGACTTTGTTGGCTTCCCACAGAATCTAACCTTTGGCAAATATGTGGCCGAACAAGGACGACCCTTTCTCACACATGATTTTTGGGCCACCATTTTGGACAATCAACAAACCCTTTTTGCTTTGTAGCTTTGAAGCAGGCTTTCCTTCTGATGACAAACTCCAAGCATGGATTCGATCGAGGCCACATCCAATTACCTTGATCATCAACAACAACCTCGATCAATCTTGGCCCAACAAAGATGGTCTTGTCAACAAGACAAGTTATCAAATCATTTTGAACGACACCAATGTCCATGCTGTCTATGCTAGCAATGCACGTTATTTGAGTGATTATGCAAAGTTGCAACCCCATGCCGATTGGATTGAAATGGGCCTACAAGTCTACTTTGTTGTTTGGAGAACCCAAAGACGAACGGGCACAGAACTATCGAACCTATGGAGCCTCCGGTCCAGATCAATCCAAAGCCTTGTTTTTTTCCAAAAAGCGAAAATCGACAGTCTTTTGGAGGCCCATGCAAGCTAGATCGAATGCTGCCACTACCAAGTATGTTCGAGATACTCCAGCCTTGCAGGCCCCACGATCCTCCATTCCACCGATTGTCAAGGAAACGGCCCAAAATTCCATGGTATTTGCACCAGCGCACATGCCGCAAGAAGATTTTTTTGGAGAATTGAAGAAACATAGATTTGTCATTTCTCCTCCTGGAAATGGATTGGATACTCATGCTACATGGGAGCGTAATGTGACTGACAGGACTGCCGAGTCCCGAGCAGATATATTAGAGCGATTGAAGGCCAACGGTCGTCGCCAATCTCAAGCCCAAGATCAATCATCTATCATCTACTCACAGCTGCTTCAGACCCCCGTAAATACACCCCAACAGCAATATCAATCACCGTCTATCATGCCCAACAGTAGCTACATCAATGCACTAGTACGCTCTCTCTACGATGAGAGTCAGGAGCCCAACATTGTCACGTTAAGTGGAAGCCAGCCCGAAATTCGAAGCCCCCATGCATTCGATTTGCAGTCAGAGCCAACAAGTTTGTTCACACGATCAGCCAACACATGGGGAGGACAGTTCAACCCTGATCATTTCCAGCGCAACGCGTTCGCTATGATGTCAGCAAGTCCTGTCAATGTGGAGAATGCAGCGTTCGCCGCGATGACTGCCGCGTCGCATCACAAATATGAAAAAAATGAAAAAAGAAGCGATGGCATCAACAAGAAATTGCATTGGGTCAACGGAAGCCACGTGGACGAAACCATCACCTACAACCAGTATACCATCTATACTGCCGTCCTAGCTCCAACCACAGAGTCTCCGGAAATCAAGCAAGCAATCCTACAACAGTCTGTGAACTCCATCAAGCAGAGCAGACAAAGACAACAATGGAACACAAGGTGGATTTCTTGATGAAACGCTACACATCAGTATGCCCAGACGTTTGCTCGCGAATCAACGCCGCCACCAGCAAACTGTTTGACGTGACTAGTGACGTGTACGAATTCACAAGCCTGCACATCATTGACAACATGGGACAAGCGATCGCTACAGGACCGGGACCAGAACTTCCAGCACCATTTAGAGCCGCTGCCACTTACTTCCGAATCGAGCTCTGATTGGTCCCACGGCTGTGTTCCCTACAAACTGACATTGGAATCGACCCAACAAAGTTCCCACCACCTTCCAACAGAGCTGTATACGTTCCAGTGCCAAGAGTCCAGAACCAGATGGACGTATCCATCACTCGCCAAATGGTAATGGACCAAGCACATCACAAGGAAATCATCGCAGCAATGGCAGCACTAGGAGAAGAGTTCTCGATGAGAGCTGCGACCAGAGACGGAGAGCCCGATAACGACGTCTACGAAAAGTGGTCCAAGCAACAGATCGCAAAGACCCAATTCCAAGCGCTCGAACAAGCACTCACAGCCACCTACGTCGGACTACAACAAGGAATGGAGACGCCAAACCAACAACTGGCAAAACTC